GGGGGCAATATGCTGACTCTGTAAACCGCTTAGAGAGGGCTGAAAGCCCTATGAAGTGGTATATAAGTCTAACTGCTATTGCTATTGCTATTATCTCTGTATTATTAAAAGTTATAATCATCCGTACCATGGTTATAACTTTTGGTTATTTTTTTTTGTATCTTTCCTTTGTTATTCTTAGAAATAACTCAGAGCAACAAATAATATTCCTTCCTCCTCCCACTTTCCCGAAAAACCACCCTGCTAGGTAGGTTCGGCTGAGTGCGTGTGACTGGCGCAAAGTCACACAGCTGGCTTTTGTGCCTAAGATGAGACTAGACCTCACCATCTGCCGGCCATTGGCCCAAAAGTCACCCAGCCAGTTTCCATGCTTAAGGCAGGATTAGAACTCTCCGCCTCCTGGTTCCTAGCCGGGGTGTCTTAACCATTAGTTTCCACTTCCCTGATTTGGAGACCACAACTGCTGACACAAGCTCTTAATTTGGTCATCTTTTGTCCACTCTTTTGAAGGATGCCAAGCCTGTGCCAAGTTACCTTGAAGTCGAACACCTGCTATTCTACGGATTGTTCCATCGGGGAGGGCAGCTACACGGGGCACTGCCCATTGCCTCCGGCGAGCGCAGGAACCTGATTATCTGGATGCGGTCATCCGCTGTCCGCAACCACCTGTGTCCCATGTGCAACAGGCAGCCTGACCTCGTAGAAGCAGACGGATTTGGAGACGGTTTCACTGGGGTTTTGGAGGGCAGCCCACCTGGCACCACAGACATTTGCTCGGTAACATAGAAAGACGATGGAGGGAGAACCTTTCACCTGGATCTTAATAAATTTTCAAAATCCGACTTTTAAGGCATCACTTGTCTCTTCTGTGCAGTCCTGGTTGCTTGCAGGCGTCTCATTGCCCAACTAGGCAACCTCATCAGTGCTAGAAGGAAGTGGGTTGCAGGAGTTTAGAGTGTTTAGAGTTTATTCAATTTGTAGGCCGCCCTATTCCCCGAAGGGACTCAGGGCGGCTGAACAAA